AGAAGAGGAGATGCAGGCAGGGAGAGAGTGGAGTTAGGAGAGGAAAAGGTTGAGGCGACAGACACGGGGAGACAGGGATGTGTAGAGATAGCGGGAGGGAGAGACAGAGAGGCAGGGAGAGATGCAGAGACAGGGAGAGACACAGGGAGGTGTACAGATAGATGCAAGGAAAGATAGGGAGAGACAGGGGGGAGGGACAGACACCGAGGTGGAGAGATACAGAGACAGCAAAGGGAGAGACCAGAGAGACAGAGACAGACACAGACAGATGGGGAGAGGAAGTGGGAAATGGCGACAGGGAAGATAGAAAGGTAGCAAAAAGGGATGGACCAGGTGGGGATGAGGACAAAGAGACAGGACAGGTGGGAAACAGACCCACAAAGAGAATCAGATAGGAGCAGAGTGAGACCCAGAGAGAAAGAGGGATGGTCACAGAGAGAGTGGGATAAGGGGAGAGATGGAAGGAGAAACAGACCAGAAAAGAGAGACTCCGAGTGACAGAGATAGGGAGATGTGGGAGAGAGAGATAAGACAGGAAGAAAGAGGGGATAGTGAGGCAGGGAGAGATTTAGAGATAAAAGATGAGAAAGTTGGACAGAGAGGAAGGTGGTGTGAACCCAGGAAGACAGAGACCCAGACCCCAAGGCCACCGACACACAAGAGATGAGGAACATGCAGAATTGGAGAGTGAGGGAGGAGACGGGTAGAGCAGGCGGAAAACAGGAAGACAGAAATAGCGAGGCGAGGCAAAGATCGAGACCCCCACCCGGGAGGTGCCCAGCACAGACATGAAAGGAAGACCGGGAAGGCAAGTGGCAGGAGGGAGCAAAAATAAAAGGAAGAAAAAGTGAGGGGAAAACAATGAGAAAGGGAAAAGGGGTCAGGTGTGTGGGGGGGAGAGAAAGAGAGAAGAAGAAATTAGTGGAGCACCCCAAGGGGAGACGGTGCCCCTGTGACCTTCCCCCTCACCTCCACCCCCACCACCAACCATTTTTGTCCCTTCGTCTTGTTCCTGACCCTCCCCATTCTCAATGAGGGTGAGAAAGAGTCAAGGCCTAGGCTGGGCTAAGGGGCTGGGGGACACAGCTGTGGAGAACTGGGGGGCAGGGGTCCCTGGATCCCAGCCCAGAATAATTTAGTCAATTAGAGGAAATACAGCAGCTCTTCCTGTGTCCCCTGTTGAATACTAGTGCCTGGGGGTGGTCGGGCTGGGAGCCCAGACTCCTGGGTCCTGGTGTGAGGGAGGAGAAGGTGGGGGATCTTGGCTCCTGATTGCCATAAAGAGCTTTGAGGCTGCACAGGGTGGGTGGGCTTGCTGAAGGGGCCAGGGTCCAGACAGGGAAGTTTTCTCAGCTGTCAATCAGGTGCCAGTTTGGTTGCCATGGTAGCATGGGCCTCATCAGCCCCACAGACAACCAGGGTTGGGGAAAGGTTCACATCCCCTCCCCTGCCTAGAAACTCTAGCCCCCTCCCCCCATTTTCCCAGAGATCCTGGGTCACTTCTCAGGCAAGGGAGTCAGGGGTTCTTAATATTCCTATCCCAAATCCTGACTCCCCTCTCCCCACTCTCCCTACCCCTCCTCTTCCCTTCCCCTAGCAGCTGGCTCAATCAGTGCTCAGAATAGCCCCCCCCCCACTCAGCCCCAAAATAACCCACAGCTGTGGCCTGGCCCCCGCGGGGTTAACACTCCCTCTCCCCTCCCTTTCTGGTGGCTGCTTACCCCTCAGTCCCTCCTCTGCCTCCTTCAGGCCCACCCCTCCCTGGCCTCTGCCTGGGGGACCCCAGGGCCCTGCCCCCTGCAGAGGCTCAAGAGGGTAGCTGAGGATCCCATCTTACTCGGGGCTGGATGCCCAGAGCTCTCCATGAGGGATTTGAGGGGGTAGGCTCCCACCCCTCCAGGGACTGAGAAAAGACATCCCCAGCCACTAGGGGACTCTGGAGGCTCAATCCCAGAACCTGCACCCTCAGGAGATCACAAAGTCCAAGCCCCCAGTCCCCACCACCTCCAGAATCTCCGTCCACAGGGGGGACATAGTCCAGGACCCATCCTCTGCCCTCTCAAGTGCCTAGGAAATAGCCCAGGCGCACGCTCTTTCCTTCCTCAGTCACAGAAGTCCTCTGCTCCAACTTCTCCCTTAAAGACTCAGGAGTCCTGGCTCCGGCTTCCCTCTTGCCCCCAGACTCAGGAATCAGGTGCCCATCTTCCTCTATCCCCAGGAATCACTATCCCAGTCCCCCAGCTCTTTCCCTCCTTAAGGATCCTCCTTTTGTCTCAAACCCATCAGTCCCAATATCCTGGGCACCCCTCAACTCCAGCCTCCCCACTTGCCCCATTCTGTTCCTGTACACAGCAAAACCTGTCCCTGAGCTGAGGAGGAGGGTGCCTGTGACTCCTGGGGTGTCCCTGTCTCCCTTGTTGCTCCCCTCCATCCATCACAGAACAGACTAGAGGCCACTTTGATCAACAGCCCGTGCCCCCCCCCCTTGCGTTGTGTTGCGGAGGGCAGGCGTCCTGTCCCCCCCACCTCACACTGTTCCCTCCCCACCCTAATCCTAGTGCTCTGGAGAGGCTGGAAGGGTACTCCAGAACCTTGAGGAGGGGGTGGTAGTTTGGGATGAGGGGTGCAGAGGTGGGGGGTCTGGATGCCCTCAAGGTCCTTGGCAGGGGTATTAATAGCAGACTCATAGCTCTGGGGAGGGAGGGGAGAGCTAGAGCTGGGAAGGAGAGGGATGGGCCAGTGAAGGGGGAAATTGATGCAGGCAGGGGGGTGCAATGGGAAGGTGAGATGGAAGGTGGGGGATAGAGTGAAATGGTGCGGTATCAGGTATATGGGTCTGGGAAGAGGGAGCAAAGCATTAGAGAAATGGGGTACTATGTGGTCTGAGGTGTAGAGACTCAGAATAAAGGAGCTCAAAAAGGGAAAAGAGAGGGGGTGGAGGAGAGTCCCCAAGAGGTGGGTGAGCTGGTAGGGGAAAGACCCTTACTTCCTATTCAAGCCCCTTCCTTCCCTGGCCAACTTTCCCACTCCCGGATCTGGGGGTCCACATTCTTACCCCCTACCACGACCTTACCTTTTCATGACCCTGTTCTTTGGGGGCGATTTTGGGGGGGCCAGGACCGGAACCGGAGTCCAGCAGCCGGAAAATTCGGCAGAGGGCTCAGGGAGCTGATGGGGGGGCCAGGCCCTGGGGTGGCAGCAGTGGCGGCGG